CATCGTTTTTCTAATGGTCAGGCAGAAACTTTTGTCAGGACAGTGAAAACTGCTATTGATTCTATTGCCGCCTCAACATTTAATGAGCTGGAGAGGGGAGTAGATGCCTTTCTATTGCAATATAGAAATGCCAGACATTCGGTGACGAAGGAGACTCCAACGAAGCTATTGAAAGGAAAAATTCTTCGGTCGAATATGAGATGTTTGGAGTATACAGAAGTCACACATTATCGTGGAAATGATCTTCGACCATCCACGAGGATTGTGCTGAAGAATTTCGGTAAGTCTATAGTGCAAATTTTATATATTAATGGCTTAAGTACACACAATCGACATGTTGATCAAACACACTTCCAGGAACCAGGCGAGTCTGTTCCGATTTCAGTTGTTAATTCTAATGCTAATGAGTACATTCTAGATAATGCAGAGTCTTTATACAATACATTGTCGGACAGACACAAGATGAACTTGAGAAGAAGACGAACGATTGATTACAGACACCTAGAATCCAATTTAAGCTGTGGCAGATGTGGTGTTTTAATGACCTAATGATTTCTTTGTACTTAATGAATGCTTGATTTCGAATTTCAAATACCGTACATTCGTTCGTGCTTATTTAGTAAATCTTGATCCAGTTGCGTTATTTCTGGGATTGCTAGTTCATACTATAATTCAAATACTCCAAATTATCATAGACCCCAGATAGATCCGGAGATATATGTGACGGCTCAGGACAAAGCCGTATGTTCTACAAATAATTTTGTGGTACACCATGATGATAGTGAAACAGAAGAGAGAAACGGGAAGGGCGAGAAACAGAAATAACAGTGTTTATGGCTAGTGAAGTCTGGTCAGTTGTGAAGGAATAATTGGAGTAGGGATACCTAGACTCACTCACTTTTATTAAATCAGTTTCTAAGCTGAATAATTGAACTCTCAGTCTTTAAATCTCATCCAGCGGGATATAATGCCTACAAAGTGGTTCCATAGGTGGGTTGACATAACTAATAAAAGGTTAGAACGGACTAAACACGTGTGCAGTTCAGCAAACTGAGACTGGGATGGAAATTTTTCAAACCTAGATTAATTACTGACAAATGATCAGCTTCTACTTGGGGGTATTCATGTCCACGCACCAGCGGAATTTGTTAACCGCGATATAGTCATGTTCAACGTAGTCACAAACGAGATACTTTGTAGGGTTGGGAATGTTTCCCACCTTGGCTATACTTAAGCGTACTATACGGCGGGAAGGCATCTTCAATACTCCCCATGTTGGAGGCTAACGGTGTATGACCACCGGAAGATAGTGAGAGACATCATTTACTATTCTATCCAACACAGTCCATCTCAGAATCAGCACACAGCTTGAGAAAGAAGGTCGCGGGTTGAGCGAGCCATGTAACGTTAGCTAAAAGCCAAATAGAGACCCTTGCACGAATGGAATCTCTCTGAAGGATTCTGACTGAAATCCTTGGTTGGCATTGTGGTGTATATGCCTAAATCCTTGTAGATTTATAAGTGCTTTGAAGACAAGCTACCGGCCGAAATCCAAGCTAACCTCAACATTCGACATTTCACACAAAGTTCAGCGATGGTGAAGGTGGAACAATTAATCGGTATAGCATGGTTTGGACATACAGGCGTGATCATTGTGAAAATGTAGTGGCATTGGACCATAACCACACAATCCTCAAAGCTGAACACGAGACGACTCGGAAAATAGGTATTCACTATTTAACGCGGAGAAAGACCTGAAGATGCAGGAGGGGGAACAATGTATAGATTAATTGGGGTTGATCGGATGGCATGGCTCGGCCTTGCAGGCGTGATCCTTGTTGAATGTTATCTTATATCTTTTATTCGTATCAAATATACTGTTCTATCTCTAGCCTAAGCTTGTTCTACATCATGTATTGGTGATTGTTACGATACGATGAGTTGGTGTATACGATGGTATGAGTTCTACGTAAGATTAGGCAGTTATATCATGACTAGTCTAAAATTTTAGGTTTTGTTCCATTATTAGCGCAGTACTAATATCATAGCAGACCATAATCCTACAAAACTACTTCCCTTTCTTATTGGACACATTATTCTACTCCCATTCCTAATGTGTTCTCCAGAAGTCCTAAAGACCGTATTGCTATCCATCATGAAAGGACGAGTAAGTAAAGACAGGACGACTTCTATATGCGATCATATATATTAGGTATGTACATCGTGACAAATCTACAATTTCGAGCCTGGACATATTATTGAGGTAGAAACTATAAATATGTGGAATTATGGTCTACTATGATATTAGTGCTGCTCTAATAATAGATCTAATCCTAAAATTGTACATTTGTCATGAAATAACTGCCTAATCTATAAGATCTTACGTGGAAGTCACACCATCGACTACACCCACTCACCGTATCGTATCAACTACCAATACATGATGTAGAACAAGGTTAGGCTAGAGAAGGAACAATATATTTAATATGAATAGAAGATATAAGATAACGTTCAGCAGGGACCACGCCTGCATGGCCAAGCCATGCCATTCGATCAACTCTAATTCATTCAATTCATTATTCGCGCCTTCTCCATCGTTAGGTATTTCTTCGCGTTAAATACTGAATACCTATTTTCCGAGTAATCTCGTATTCAGCTTTGAGGATAGTGTGGTTATGGTCCAATGCCACTACAAATACACTAAACGCCGACTGAGACATAGCAGTCAAAGCGATCACAAACTCATCATTGGAGAGCTTTAAGAAGAGACTTGAGAAATGTATATTCATCCATGGTTTACAAGCTACTAATAAGCTTGTGAGGCATGAGTAACCTGTTCTAAGCCCACGTTGTCTTTCAGAAAGAATCCGGTTTTCGTCTGCATACTTGAAAAACTTTAGAACAAACTTCTTTGAAATCTTAACAACCACGCTGGTCAGGTTTACTGATCGATAGTTCTCGGGATTGAGTCTCGAACCTGTTTTGAAGACAGGATTTATTATGGAATTTTTCCAGTTTTTTGGTAACCCACTTTGGGTTACAGATAGATTAAAACATATGCTTATGAGATTCGTCACAAAATTTACAAGTTCCTCCAGTAAACTAGGATTCATTTCGTCCAGTTTTATAGATATGCCCATGTTCACCTAGTTTAAAAACCAAAACCAATCGAGTTTTTCAGTGCTTACAGTGCACATTGTGTATGGGTGGTATGTGAACCGAAGAGGAGGGCATCTCTACTGCACATGAATTACTAAAGTAGTTCGGAAATTTCTGGTTTTTATCATAATCGTCCTCCACTGATAATGAAATACTACAGTCTCTCTATAGTGATGGAATATTCGCTTTTCTCTTACTACTCTGGTTTATGTACGAGTACGAGATTCCTTAGCAATTTTTTCTTCGTACAACTTTCTAGACTGCAGAGGGTCGAGGTAAAAATGTTTAAAGCTTTCCGATATTGAGATTTTATCTTGTCAGTAACCAGTAACTTAAATCACTGTCGTATTCTTCTCTTACTAAGTGATTTGTAAACCTATTTACTGTTCCACAGTCGGAAGTTTCCCGGACCCCAGGTAAGGTTCAAGGAATATGCGGTGCAGTGATTTTGATGTACAAATTCTTAAATACATCTCAAGTCGTTTCAATGGGAAACTCTGTTTCTGTTGACGAAGCTTTTGAAGGTTCTGAGTGATTAATATTTTGTATATTTACTTTACGGACGTTTGGTTTGTTTTGAGCTGACACACCCACGTTATAGACAAAGATATGGAGACCAGAGACTAGAACTGCATGGTAAACGTTAACTTATGGTGGAACTAGTAAGGATGATTCGGAGCCCAGGTCGTACCTTGTTTCTTTTTTCACATGTTGTTCTGCTAAAAAGATTTTCATGACAACTCAGTTCTCAGATGTTTCCAGTGTACCGTAAGTGCTGTAATGTCTTTTCAGAACAAATATCGACCGACTGAGAGCCAACTGTTGAAACCATCTAACCACACTTCATTCACTTAACTGGAGCAGGCTGAACCGAACAGTAGCTTTTGTTCTCTGCATTACAAGCAGCAACTAATTAATTCCTACCTTCCAATTTCATGGGATGTGTTATCAGTAACGGCAAATGGGGCAGTATATACGATGAATAGAACTCCTCCTCATTTATGCCTCTGGATTCTGTCCGCTGTTATTAATGTACAACTGTCAAAATTTTAATTCCCTACTGTCCACCGACTGCGTCAACCGAATTCCTGTGACGGCGATCACGTTTAGCTTAGTAGAGTATATTTGTGTATCTAACACTGATCACTTGTCGAACAAGTTACGAGCGTTTGTGTGACAGATCCGAAGACCACTTAAATGGCTTCGAAGTGAACCCAAAGTGGCTACGGCATCATTCACTGTCAAAACTACTACACCAAAATATTTACAATTTTATGGTCCTCCTTGTCAACATATAACTTTTGTTTCTGTTCCTCTTCAGCTTTTCGTCTTTTTATAGGGTTCACGAGTGGCAACTCTTCACGGACGAATCTCCTGACTCTTGTAGTTGATGTCCACTCTATAGCATTAAGTACCTTCCCCCTGCAAAGTGTAAATGCGACTTTATCAAACCAGTTTGATTGTGTACCAAGTCCATTTGGCTCCATAGTCTATGAACCTTCAGTAGAGTGAACCTAGATATAACTTTGGACATTGGGTGGTTAAGTAAATATTTTATCAACCCGATGTCTCGCTCAAAACGAATCGTCGGTTCCGAGGTTTCACTGTGCTTGAAAAAGTGAGAGACGACTGACTGTTACTACAAGATATATAAATCCACAAATAACTGCCAAACTGATTAGAAATAGTGGAGTCGATTGACTAAACTATCACTCATTGGACATTATCAAATATCTGTATTCGTACACGAACAACAAGAAACAAGGACAGAGAAATCATTCGATTTGTGCTAGCTCGTGACAAAGTTATTTGGAATTAGAAGTATATGTTATAATGGTTTTGGGTATTGAAGACCGCCGTGGTCGAAATTGTGCTACCCCAAGGCCACGTTTTGCTTTTAGTGATGCTCAGCCAGAAAAAGCCCCATAAAGAAGGAACTAAGAGTGAAAAGCTCATTCATGAAGAAAATTTACGGACACTTAAGTTCTACCGTTATTTGTTTATGTCCTGTTATGTAAGTCCTTTGTAGTTATTTTAATTCGGAACGTTCATAACTATTTTTTATGTTTGTTCCAAAAGTTAATTCTTACCAATATTTCAAATACACATATAACGAGTCATTGTGTAGTTTCAGATTCGTCGTTAGAACTTTCACTTAAACTAGTTCATACCGAGTACAAGTGTCTATCTCATCGGAAAATAGAATTAGGTGTTCGAGATATCTTAAACCCAAGCTGGCTACTTTGGGGAAATCCCCAAATTGAAATAACTTTCCTCAAAGTTTGGGGACAGTGTAAGCTTATTCCTTTGGACGGGTTACGGGCATGTTGGTTTGTGTTAACAGTTGTAAAAAGCCAGTTGGCAGCAAATAGTACCATTTGCTGAACATAAATACGTATATATATTCACCAAATTATTATCTCAATCCATCCACTCAAGGTATTATTTTAAAGATTTAATCATGCTACTTTTCGATTCATAATTCTTTATAATTGGCAAGGTCAATAATCTGTTAACAATATCACTTTTTATATCTGTTGTTTGCCCTTAAGGGAAAATAGATAGATAGATAAGTTTCACTTAAACGTACTCGAGAAGCTGAGTAGTGAAATTCTATAAAACTACATTTCAGACTGGATATATATTAGAGAGAAAAAAGTAACCAGTTGTTTGCACACGACGTTCAGAGAACTTCGCATTCCGAAGCAATTTGAACTGTAACTGCAGGAATTCTCCACAATACTGCGATGTTATTCTGGATCTCCGGTCGACTTGGTATTGTTGTAGATCGCTAACGTGGATTATCTGAGTCAAATGATTGGGGGTCTACTCGAGCTAAACAGGAATGGTGTGACGAACCTGTTAACTTCGAAGTCACACCTCGCGGTTAGTTGCTAACGTGGATTATCTTTTCGTCATATCAAGGTACTGTCGTCACTTCAAAGACTGTATAACACAAAGGACGTTATTACAGAAATTTATTAGTAAGAGTAGGTACAAGAAAGAGAGTGCGACCACCACCGAATGGGTCATTACTTGGCGTGTCATTAATTGAAGCGCATTGGTGGTCCTTGAACGTGATGAGGATCGGTGAACTATTCGATATTCATTGAACCAACTGTCAGATGATTTAGCTATGGCCCAGTGATATTTCACTGGCCCTACAGTGTAGTTCGGTTCAACGGATATTTACGAACATACTAGTTATTTGTGTTGAAACCATGGAGTGAGCTTTGCTAATGTTAGACTCGAAGTGCTTGATAGATAAGGGAAATTAAATTAAGTTCTAAACTCTCATCAACTGTAGCTTTTGTGACCTACTTTACGCTTGTATTTCTACCACACATTTTAATGTGTTATTATAGCTCACTTCATCGATGACGGAGCGAAACATTAAGATGACTAAACTTATGCATTTCATAATAATCTTTGAAATCGCCGATATTTTAAACTTAACAATAAAGAAAAATCGTAAACTTATTGGTGAATATTCGCAACCTACTGGGACTAACTGTTGTGAAGTTTAGGCTCTGTGATTTAAAACTGGTGAGCTATATCTAGTTTTTATCATGGCAAAAGTCTTAAGCTATATCATACCACTCATTCTTTGATTTTACAGGTTTCTCTACCTAATTTTTTACTCTTCCCTCATTTAACATTGGTGTGATTGATCCGATAGCGTAGATCAACGCATATTTGTTCCACGTCCTGAATTGTCCCTGGTTATCTTTTAACTAGAATATCTCATTTCTACTTGAAATTAAGCATAGTGGTGAGGACCCCTTAATTTCGTGAGAGAAAAGTTCAAAATAAACCTTTGGGTTTGTTATTCCTCGCCTATATTTTCAAATATATTCTGAAACGTTACTTTAAAGACATATTCAGACGATTAAAGACTATCAGTTGAATATTTCGTTTATTCTTACCAGCTATTTCTTGTACATTAAGGAATTCCGAAACATCTTTAGTTAAATCACCAAAAAACCGAGTCTAAATCAAGTATTAGGTATGCTCAGTTATTATACACACTAGTTAAGCGAAGAAATTTCTTTTCAGTTAGTTTTTCATAATGACTCTCTCTCTCTTTATATATATATATATATATATATATATATATATATATATATATATATATATATATATATATATATATATTCGAAGTTCGTCTTTACTAAATGTTTAAATGGAAATTTTTCGTTAGTATATTACTTGATATTTAATCCTGTCTACAATGCAGGTCTCCAATCATAATTTTCTCGGTAGCATTACTTAGTAATAATATAACCATCAAGTGACTGACTCTAACGTTAGTAGTAAGGTTGGTTTCCAAAACTGTTATTCGACTGATGAGATTATAGGCTGTCGATTGGCATTTTTGGGCCACGTGTCACAAATGTATATCCATAGCATATCCTGACTAATAATATTGGTTTATATTAGGGTAGTTTCACAGGGGGCATGGCATGTCATCAGTTGCTGATGCCATTGATTGCTAAACTGACCTGTATCATTAGCAAGTTATTTCTCGATTGTGTTCCTGTGGATGATCATGGTTTATGGGTAGAGACGATAAATACCATGGCTCAAAGTCAATTGCAATAATGCAGTTGTATCCGTTATATATTCCCTTCCCTGAACATGGTACTATTCAACACTTATCTTTATTTAATTTCACTCGTCCTTTTTGGTGTACACATGTTTAACCTTCTGTTGTATTGGGCACTGACTTTCATTCTTCATTAGTTTTCAACTCGTTGATTCCCTCTTCCAATCTGTTAATGTCAGATGTGCAACCTGGAACGACACATATCATTCTCAGCTCTTACTTCGTCTCTGACCGGTTAATTTTATCATGTTCATTATTGGTTATATTCTTATCTTAGACTTAGTGTTCGGGCATTTTGTTACAACATTCATTATTGTCAATGTTGTTTTCTTCCTAGATAGTTTATTTCGTTATCACTTTAACATTTTTCTGGTCAACCTATACGAAACGTTACATAGCGTTATCACTAGGCTGCTTCGGTGCTTGTTTAGCTGCTTATAAATTTATGTCCTACATGGCTTCACCATCTTACGCTGTCAACGAAAGAGGAACTCGTCAATTGGTGGATGCTGGCCTAGATTTAAATATAGGATCCGGTGGACTTGGAGAGTAAGTGATTTACACTTTTGCTTTATTCCCTGATTAAATAATTGGGTTATTTTGGGTGAGGATATTACAAGTATGGAGGGATTTCTAAAGGTTGTAGAATTTTTAAAATTTAGACCATGAACTGATCTTAACTAGACTGTAATTGAAAAAATGTTTTCCATTATTACCGATACTGTTACTGCTTTTACTACTCTGACGTTTGTATCTGTGCTGTTCTGTGGCAACTTGAACTCATGTTCATAAATCCCATTTTCTGTATTGGGTATGACTCATGAACTAACTGACTGACAGGCTGATTTAAGCTAAAATGAGTCATCGAATGCCAAGGATCATTAGACAACTGTTTTGTTCTACTCAGCAATCCGCATCTCCCACATAAGATCAGCTGCAAGAGACAAACCCAGGATTTTAAGTCTTGTGGGTCTCATCTTACTGAGTTAACATATGGTAATTCGAAATCTCGACTCTAATCATTTCCTCGAAATGAGTAATTTTCATTCAACCACCCATGGTTATTGTTTTGCTGTACTTCTGTAAATCAGTCAGAAATACTCTGTGGTGACTGTGCTCAATTTCTTTCTTTCAAAGACTGAATTTAATCTGAACTTAATTGGATGAACTGAAATATGAACTAATTTTTTTGGATTCTAGCCTATAAATCTTCTCTACAAGAATTTTGTTTTGCAATAGTCAGTGATAGTAGAATAAGAAGCTGTGGTATTAGCGTATAAAAGTGTCGTTCAGAGTTATCTCTGGTGTTTCATCCATATCACTTCGTTTTGTATGAACTCCTAAGTCCTGAATACTACAATGATGTGAGCATCGATGAAACTAACATTTATGAATTATTTTGATTGATTATAAAAAAGGGACCTTGCGAAATTTTGATCACTTATATGATCCAAAATTGGGTTAATTATTTGTTTTAATAGGGACTAAGATTTTTAGTTAGAGTGTGTTTTCATCACAAACTGATACCAACTATAGTGAAAGAATGCGCTGTAGCTGTAGAGACTAACGAAATTCACGTAAAATCCAAAATCTGCTATCGTAAATCTGATTGGTTCGTCTATAGAGTCTAGTTCAATTTCGACATATCTATTTTTGAATCTTGGTTGGAGCCTAGCACTTATTCCAAATTAAATCATTTATCATATCTGTGATCTTACTATCCAGATCACCGACGAAATTCTTATATTTTTAATCCAATTACAGTCGGTGTAGATTTGGATAGGAGAAAAACAATTTGAAAGAACTGGTCTTAAAAATATAAAAAAATGTAGTTTTGCTATTCATATAATGAAACCAGATCACATTTGTTAGTTTTATCTTTTATATTTACTTGGAAAGGGAAAGGAAGAGGACTGTGTCGATCATCCAAAATAGTCTAGTTTAAATTCTAAATATACTCAGCATTAATCCATATTTACAGTTGTGAGATGAGTCTATAAACAATAAGAGTTAACTTTTGTTTCTGTATCATATCAATTTATTCATTGGTTAGGAACTAAATTATATACCATTTATTATTAATCTGATCTAAGGCCATTTGATGGAAAAGCATGCAAATGAGCGAAAAAAGTCAGTGAATCCGTAAACAGTGATAGTTAACAACCTAGTTCTTAACTTATTAGGTATTGTAACTCTAGTGAGCCCCTTGTTTCTGTAGTTAGATATCAAGAGAAGGTTGTCTCTAGGCTAGCTAACGGCCTCGGTGCATTAGGTTACTCAATATAACCTTCAGACCGCAAACTCGTGAGTTCAACTTGTAATTAATCAACCTTGTGGGCAGGGAACTATCCTATTCCTTGACTTCGTGAATACTGATTGGCTGGGAAGAGAAGAGGGAAGACAACTGTGGCAGGAAATCTCTATGTTCGATTATGTCTAACTTAGAGGAGTACACGTTTAAATATGGAGATAATTAGACCACAAAGCACAACAAATTAGAAAATACAATATATGCAAAACAGGAAGTAAGGCTGCTATTTATAATACAATAAATTAGGAAGAAGAAATGACAATAGTTGATAGATTAAACGATTGCTTATGATCAAGCAAGTAAGTTAGTTACATAAAATAGCTGTAAATAACTTACTGACTACAAATTAAACGAACTAATAACCTAAAAGCAGCTTTCATAATTCACCATTTCTTCGGTCAGTTTTTGAATTTTAAGATTAATCTCTTTGTAATATATTTTGTGTGTGTGTGCTCAAAAATGTTTGCGGTTGCATTCACTCTTTGTTTCTCCCTGTATCCTAAGTCCCGAAATCTCCGTATAATTCTTATTTTATTTATCCAGCTAATCTTTTCTATTACTAATAATACTGTTACTTCTATCAGTCAGATTCTTCTTGATAATTTTATCTCATTATGCTAATGTGGCAACTTAAACCAATGCACATATGAGCCAGGTCCCATGTTCCATATAACTGACTGAATGACTCCTTAGCATATTGTATTTGTGGACCTAGCCTCCTCAGCACACATCCAGGCCTAAAACCAGCTTAGTTTCCTCAGTTTCGCTGTTCACGAGTCTTAGGAGTCATATGATTATTGTGGCCACCATGTTAGACAGTATATTCTTCAAACCGATTCTTCTATGGTTATTAAAAGAGGATTTTTGTCCTATTCTAAAAACCTTGATGTCTAGCGATCGCGATCAGTTTTATTTAGGAGTACACCGTGTTTGCAGACTCTGATTAATATCTCAGTCAATCTAACTTCGAAGACTAGATCATCATGCTTAAAGGTTTTTAAAGGCGTACTACTTACCGTTGCTTTAATTTAAATATACATTTTGGAACTTTATTAAGAATCGGGGTATGAAGGACGTATTTCACTCTCAATTTGATTGTTCCAGAATATTGGATAACAACTGGAGAGTAGTTGGAAAAGAGTTGATTTATTTCACAGGTTTTTTTAAATCATGAGTCAGTTGAAGCTAGACCACCATTGAAAACCTGGAAGCACTGGACGGCCGTTTCGTCCTGGTATGGGACTCCTCAGCAGTGCGCATCCACGATCCCGCACCACGCGGGGCTCGAACCCAGGACCTACTGGCTTCGCGCGCGAGCACTTAACCATTAGACCACTGAGCCGGCATCCAACGGTGTTAATGTCTAACTTGATTTATTCTTTAAAGCAGAACAAAACTGACATTCTAATAACTTATAGTTATTTTCATTTATCTCATGATTCATTCATTGTTCGAATTGTTTTTGTTCACATTGGCCTACATTTCTCTCATTCTTTTCGTTTTACTTTACATAGCTGGGTTTTTTTTTCGATATTGTATACTTTTTTATTATTTACTTATTGTTAATTGTGTTTTTTTTCTTTTCAGACAAGCTAAAGATGCAATAATTATGTGCAGTTTAGTCACTATATTAAGCTTAATTCATCAATATTTCTGGTTCCTCCTATTAATTGTAAGTTTTGCATTGAATCCGTTTCTTGTTTAGTGTATACGCGTTTATTTATGTTTCTATGTTCCTAGTATTTGATAACTTCTTTGGCAAGACTATAATTTATGGACGAACCAGTCAGATGTAAGATAACAGGTCTTGGATATGGGTGCGAAATTCATTCATTCATTTGATTAAATAGCGTTCTAGCATTTTAGCTGATGTTAGTTCATGATGAAAGCCCTAAATCCGATTCCTTATCCTAACTATCAGCTGAAACCCACAATCCTTATTCTTCACACTGCATTAGAACCCTCATTTGTCCATAGTAAGTAGGTGGATATTCTCAAGGTCACTTTAGCGTCGCTCAGAGGTCGTCCATAAATTAGTCTCACCAATCTTATTTTACAATCCTAATAATTATTTCACTGACCTAAATAGAAATTTCACAACAGACTGATTTCCTGTCCCACTGAAGGATCAATAGTAGTACTCAAAAGCGAAAACTCTAGAACTCGTCGAAGACTAAACCGCGAATCTCCAGTCCTATTAATAAAGAAGTTACCTTCAAACTTTATTGACTATAAACATCAAATGTTGAAATTTGATGGAACCAGTTTCGATTAATAAAAATTGTAATTTAAACTTAGTAATCAGTGATCTATAAAGGCTGTTTTTATGCCAAATAGCTTTTATTCGTATTTTCAAACTTCCAGAATCGACTTCACAGGTTTTTATGGAGTTCCGTTTTTCCTCAGAAATCACACTACGTCGATCCATAAAGCCTTTAATTTTTACTTTTCAGACTAGTTAACTGTTATAACTTGTGAACCTGTGTGCCCTGTTTATTGTATAACGCAGCGATACCGCCAATCAGAGAGCAGCGAACTATCGATCGAACCAGTGACGCATAAAACACGTGCGAGCAGCCTAGAGTCCTGATTGGTCCTGCTTTCCGCCTAGCCCAGCCAGTTGAGTCCAGAACACCAATCTCAGCCTCTGCGATATGAATCATTTATTTCAAATATACTCGGTTTATATGTCAACCTAACAGACCACATCGTACCATCAAATAGGAAACAACATTTGTACAAGAATTAGCCAAATATGGCTGTGAATATGGGAGATGGTAATTAACAGACATGCCATAATTCAAGAATGGTAAATCGTATTATAATAGGTCATAGGTCAAAATAAAACTCATAATAAGAGGGATATGAATGTGAACAGATTAGTTACACAACAATTACACGATAAAAATATACTCATAGTCTTGGTCCATAAATGGATCCCAAAAATTACCATTCATTATTCTTATCGGGATATAACATTAACAATGAGAGGCTGAGCGTTTTATTTATTATTATTATTAGTGCATGAAAGTGTCGCTTTCGAAATGGTAAATGAAACATAAATATAAATCATTTCAGATCTGATATGCTCATTGTTGGGGAGACCCCGAAAAATCCCTTGAAAAAAGCCCAAAGGATCCCTGAAAACACTGGAAAACGTTTCATCGAATCAGTATTGAATGGATGTTTCTCAGACGCATCTAGAATATGGAGAGTCACGTATCACATTTCTGATTAGATGATCACCTATCACGCTACTATGTGTAGAAGGATTCCAGAACTTTCCAAAAGCCCAAGGACATCTGAAATGCCATAAATACCTTCAACTTTCTGTACATAAACTAACCTTAGAGTAAAGCGTTCTCTCCATATTTCGCGCCTTTTTTATCGTGTTCAAGTTATGCAGATTTAGCTTGAGGTTATTAGAAGTGCGTTCAGTCAGAGGATCTAACACTCATCACGGAATGTTGAGCTCATTGATGCCTACAAAGTTATTGGTACATGTGACCCCCCTATCCCTTCCATGGCCAGTTATAACTTAACTAACAATCCTTTTATTTATTCATTTTATTTTATTTGTGTTATCATTAACCTTATTTTCACATCCATTATTTGTTTGTAATTTTCCGCCTCTTTGTATTCTTCACTATCTAATTATTTACACACATCTTATTACGTAATGTTATCTAATAGTCCTGAACTCTACTACAATAATCATTTAATATTCCACTATCGGCAGTATTCATTATTCAGCTGCTATATTCTTTGACTGTGAAATTCACCAAGTTTCTCGTTGATTTTAAAGTGTATATTTTCAATCACATTCAATGTCATCAGTTAAACATTGTCTCTTCCCTAAACTGTTTTGAGTGCTGATAGAGGTATGAGCAAAGTTGTCCATCCCATGTTTCCCACACCTTGGAAGCATAATTCTTTTTCGGGTCCCTGTAAAGGAAACTGGGTTGGAAACGGTCTTGATTACCTAGGAGAGTGACAAGGCCTGTTGCCGGTCACATACAGTCTCTTTACGAGCAGTTTCAGGTGTGTTTGCCCCATACTTTCGGCAACAAAAAGCCGTGAGACAAGGTTGTGTGCTATTGTTAAGGCGGATTTATTGTAAGCCGATCCTTTTCTTATGGGAAGACAGCGTCACTACAGATGCTGGTTTTCTAAGAAAAGCACCCAAAATGTGACGTCTCAATATAGTCAGAGGTACCAATTCGTCCTCAAAACTTAGGTTGTTGCTTTTAGTCTCATCTTACTCCATCCAGCCTATCTGCTATTATATGACCTGGAAAGACGTGTTTTAGCTTACATGCCTCGATTTGTTCATCACGATATGCAAGGACGACCACTTCGTCACAGTATCAGCTACGTTCAGCTGAATAGCGAAACTATAATTTATGGACGAACCAATCAGGTTTAGGGTAATAAGTCTTGGATCTCGACGCGAATTTCACTTACCCATTTGGCTAAATGGCAGTTTGACATTTTAGCGGATGTTAGTTCGTAATGAAAGCCCTAAATCTATTTCCTAACAATCAACTGTAAATCATAATCTTAATTTCACACTGGTTTATGACTCTCATATATAGCTGTAGTAAGTAGGTAGACATTCTCAAAGTCACTTCAGCCGTTCCCCGAAGGTCGTCCACAAATTATAGTCTCACTGGCTGAACTTGTTAAACACTACAAATAATGGAATCTCAATAGATTATGGAGAAAGCTGTTTCATTCATTACGCTGTTCAGTTTTCTCTAATACTGTGTAATCATGATACTGAATTTTCCTTAACTTATTTGAATCATTAGGAACTCTTAATAATACTTTGCTAAACTGTAGTGAGAGCTGTCATTTATATCCAGATGTACATGTACACGCAATTCATGTGGAATGTTTATTAACATTCGCTAATAACATTTACACTACTTACTAATATTAAGTAGCAACATTCCATTTATAAATGTTATATATTTTGTCTTCATGTTTAATACCAGATTCCTATTCGGTTGTTCTACGTGCTTTGGGTAAATATCTTGGCACCGTGGATATTTGATCCAAATCAAGAAACTCAGGTAAATGAAAAGAAACAAAAGAAAATGGAACGAAAAATGAGACGAGTTGGTCATCTGATGCATGGTACAGACAGAGCTGTCGGCCGAGCTAATTAGATAACGAAATGTTATGATGAGAAATGGTTATCATCATTCTGAGTATTGTATTTTATTCTATGGATATTTCCATCCCTTATCTCGTATTATTCTTACATGATATTCTTTCTTTGTCCTTTTTAATATATATTGATATCTGTACAGTAATTTATATTATGTATAGTTTCTGAAATGACTGATTTGTTTCTTATTGATATTATTCCTAGTATTGTTTTATTTATTCTCAAATATGCACAGTGGTAAATAATTCTATTATTATTTTCTTTTTTTTATATCGTTTGACTTAAATAATATTGTGAATGTCTTTTATTAATCAAAGAAGAGGAAAATTTCTGTACTTCTCATTGTTTCCATCTATTCGGTCAACAAGTAACTTCATGGAATTCACTCAGTGGTTTAAAGGTTACACGAGGTCCTGGGTTCGACTACTGATGGGGTTGTGAGTACTTATTGCTGAGGAGTGTTACACTAGGAAAAAATAGCTGTTCAGTATTCCTGGTTTTCAATGATAATCTTTTATTTATTTAAATATATAAATATTGGTACGAAGAGGCACCAACATAAATGTACTATGTACAGTATGTTCAAGAAATAGATGATGAAAAGGTTAGTAAAAATAAGTGAAATAAAGCTAAAGAAGGAAGATGTGTAGTTTGGTTAAGAAAAATACATTTAAAACGTTTTTCGGCAGGATCACCACAAACTTTTACTATGAGCCATGTCTGATAGCGTTTCAAGCCACTATTGTGTACTTTTGCTAAGACCTCAACGAGGAAATCGTGCCAGTGCCCATCTGTACTTTTCGGTGCGTTGGTAGCTAACGTTGAACCTAGCTCGGTTTGATATTTTGTTGCAACAGAAGCTGCAACCAATTTTCCTTGATCTGTTTGTTCACCACTGAAATAAAATTGGTGACAATAAGGGCATGATCAGAGTACACATAAATACTCCAAAAGAAGCTACGGTTTTGTTTACAACCAAACGGGCGGTAGCTGGTCGCAATGTGATCAATCTAAGTTTGGTCTTATGTTGCTGAGAAAGGGCGTCAGGTAGTACATTTGGAATAACTATTCCCAAAGTTGGCTTGTAACCCGGGCTATCGCACTTTACAAGACCAGATTTTGTAGCTAGCTAGGTTTTAGTGCCGAATATTCGCTTTTGGTTCCATCAATTTTATGGATAACATGGCCACCGCAAGAAAGAAGTGAGTTGATGGTTCCTACATACACGTTGACATGGAACGGAAAACTGTCTCAATCCCCTGTCGTACCAAAGCATTTAGGATCCATCTAACCATTGATGCAACGTTACATAATCCGACAATATTCGCAAACCCTATAAATTAGTAATAACTTTTGCTTAAAATATAGTCTCCATCGCGTATACCTTCTGACTGTTCACTCCTCAACTTTCTTTTTGCTTCGGTGTATTTTCAAACAAGCTGCATTAGCTTTCAATTGTGCGCTTAAAAGTGGAACAAGTCTATAATTGCAAGGCAAAGCAAGAAATATGTTTGCACAATTCATTCAATGAATAAACGTTGATTGAAAAGGCCACAAAGTCTAATTTAATATTGGCAAAATAAAGATAAATGTTGGCTTTGACATCACAAACAGGTTAGCTCAGTGTTTAGAAGTGCTATTGGGTTGAACTATACTTAAAGTGGTTTTATCATCATCACCATCCGAAGTGAAGTCAGTTTCTAGCATGAAACTAAGTGTTCTAATTAATACTGCAACATTATATCATTATGGTAATTGAATCTGCATTTTAAAAAACTGTTATTATCTACGTTACTATACAAATTCAAACATTCGAGAAAATCACTAATACTAAAAAAAAAGACCAAGGTTACGTGCGGAACTTTGTGAGTTGCCAGACTGATATAAACAGTATTCTTGGTTAGATGATTAATTCACTTTCAAGGTTCACTAACATTCTTATCCTACTATTTGTCCTTGAAATTATACTTTGAGCCTCCTGGATGATCAGGATACATAGTCGCATGGGATTTGTTGGGAAGCGGCTACTATATAGCTCAATATTCCGGTTATATTATTTTGACTGTATCAGTTTATTCTTGTAAGGATTATGAAATGTATGTTTATCCAGTCACTGATTAATAAATCAGTGCTAAGTACCAATTATTAGAATGTATTCAATATTTAGGTATTCATTAGTGTAGATAAAACAGAAATCAGTGTATTCATACATCGTTTTGATCTACATTTGGAATGGACATCGAAAATCATCTATCATCAATGTTTTGTCCTTGCATTGAGTCATGTCTGTTTGGCTAGTAGAAATATTATCTCAGTCATATAAATTTTGTTTATAAGCAACAGCGTTCAATAAGACAGAAACAATGAAAATGTGATATGTCAAGTTACTAAGTTCGAATATTCTCCACAACAATTAATCATCTAAACTGTTAATCTAAGTTTTATCATTTATACTGTCAGAAGTTCTCTCTTTGATTTACTCAGTGGCTATAAAACATGGCCATTAAAAGTGTAAGGCAATCATTGGTTACTAGTGTTCAATCATAAATTCTGTCAAAGGAGCTAAACTGTTGATACCAATCGTGCTGACGTCCCAAATTTATGGCTTCGGTTTTATCTGGTGTCGTTTGTGTTGGCCAACCGTGATTACGATATTTACACTTGAGTACTGCCAAACGCAATGCCCGTGTTAACGTTTTTAGGAGGAGATCGGAAGAAAGTGACAGACGAATTAAAAGTCGGCGTCAGTTATTCCCGTCATTGTCTGTTGGACCGAGGAGTGTTGGTAGGTACAGATTACTTGGTCGGAGTGCGCATGATGAAAGCAACCGGTAAATAAATTGACTATAAATACGATTGTTTATAGGAAGGTTTTCTTTGCTGAATTACTTGTTTTAGTTAAGATGTCTACTGATCTGAATATTATGATGCTAAGAATTATTCTTCGTTCCAGAACTGTGACATTTTCCCAGTCGAATTTATGTTCTCAGTTGTTTACGTTAATTGATTTCAGTGATATTATACAGTGTTGTTTCCAGTGAGTCAGTAACAACTTAGAACTTCGTACGTACGTACGGCAATCCTAGTTACTATACCACATTAGCACAGAGATGCAGTTGTTGATTTAAATCCCGTAGTGGTAGAGGTAGTAAGAGTTTAAACAGTAATCGGAAAGATCAGAGTTTGAAGATGGTATTCAAGGAGTATAATCCAATGAAATAAATTTGGAAAGAGAAAAGAAGGGACATGATGGCTTATGTTTGTGTACATGTAGAGAAAGAGAGCATCCATTTTGTCCAATGTGACGTTTATACCAGTTATTAGGAATCATTTTAGTGGGATGCTGTAAATTGCTGTCAAATGCACTCAGTTGTTCTCATTGGTGTTCTGTTCACTACATTTGGACTACTAAAGAGAACCTAGAAGTCGTGCAAAGGTGCTTTTTCCATGTGTAAGATTTAGGATTATAAATTATGAATGGACTTTGAGTGACGTTAAAGTGACCTTGGGAGTGTTCAGCTACTAAATAGGAGTAAGTGAGGGTTATAAAGGAATGCGGAGAATTAGAATTATGATTTACAGTTAATGGTTAGGGTTAGAGGTTCGATTTGTGGTTCCCATCACGTACTGACATCAGCTAAAATGTCGAAACTCTATTTAGTTAAATGGATGAATGAATTTCGCGCCAACATCTAAGATCTATTATCCTAAATCTGATTGGTTTGTCCATAAATCATAGTCTCGCCGAGATTCTTTAGCAATAAACACTCATGGACTCAAAATTGGTTAAATGAATAACCTTTAGGTCTTACGATACCTACCTGACCATGAAAAGAGTTGAACGAATAAATTATCAAGATCTTTTTTACAGAACACAATGTTTTGGAGAAATTTGGTTGTTCTAGCACAGTCTCAATACTTTAGATGAAACATCACTAATTACCAAACAATAAAAATTGAAGTGTGGTAAGTGTTGTAGTCTGCTTTCTGCTAAATATTTAGGATAGAATTAGTATACAATCTTGTGAGTAAAACTGCACTTTTCGGTACAACGTGTATTGAACAGATTTAATGTGTCAGAAGTATATTGTAAAACAGGTATATTGATATATAAAGGCGAGAATCTTCACTTGATGTATTATTCATACTATGTAAAAAGAATGACATGATTGAATTTTGTGATGATTAAGAATGTTTATAATTCAGGTAAAGGATGTTGAAGCTGTTGTAGTTTGTGATCTTTATGTCATTAGCTCATGCTTCAATGATAATAGCCGTTAGAATTTCTCCTCAAATGAAACAGAATAAACGGTTAGTCAGCTGTGGAGAAGTTATAATAGTCTATTTATTTTTGAATTAAATGTTGATGTTATTGTCCGGAACAACAATGAAAGTCTAAGTAACAAACCGTCCACTTTAAAGATCAAAATATCAACATGCTAGGTTTGAGGATATCACAAGTTCACTTAATCTGCGAACGAGAACAAAGACTCAGTGACCAAAGACCAGTAAGCTAGCTATTGATGCGTCCTAGCCCCACTAACTAGAGGGAGAAGTCCCCAACACAGCATAACTGAATTACTTATGAATGCTTGTATTTTCAAATCGTGGATATTATAGAACTGTAAACAATTTGTCTATATTAGCATATGTTCATCTTGGATGAATTGGATTTATAATGAAACTTTTTCAAAAGCTTTTACCAACTTTGGATTGTTTTTGGTAGTGAAATCCAGGATGCATTTTGCTCATTAGTAAAAGCTTGTCACCAAATAGAAATCTGCTATGCATTTACATACTTTAGCATATACTGATCAAACTTCAGCCCATAATCTCAACAATGGAATAATATTTTGAAAAACTATAAATAAGCATTAAACTAGTTATATAAGTTAGTGGAAACCTGAACATAATAGTGTCTGTATTCAAAAGTATCAGTACTAGACTCGATTGAGTTACTGTGTGCGCATCAACAGTGAATTCAGTACATCCATCTGACTAATACCGAACAAGAAGAAACATGTGTCTTAGATTCACTTCTAGCAAATTAAATCGCGATATCAGTAATTATCAGAAATTATATTCATACTCTTATTATCAATATAAGTTTATGACTGCAGATGATGGTCATGCAATGTCTTGCCCACCAACATTGACATTTATGCTACTTTTATTAAATAAGTAGTTGTAATCTCAAAGAATAATTTCCATTCATTATAAGAATTCAATATGTATGTAAACACTATAAAACTTACTTTCATGTTAGTGAATGTAACCTTTGTTACATTAGTTATAGATAATATAAGATGAATGAGAACATCTATTGTATTTAAAAATCAGTCAGTCATTAAAAACCTCATTTCAAGCAAACATGAATCAGTCTAAATGACTAGGCACTTCATGTCATCATTATAGTGAGACTGAAAATTAACAAAATGTAATAAGTGAAGATTGTAACTATGGCGATACTCAAATTTATGGACAACCTTTGAACAAATCATAAGTGACTTCCAGAAATATCAGCAAACAGTCAGTATAGAGTAAAAAGATGTTATACAAAACCAAGGAAATAAAGTGGGTACACTTCTTATACGTGGTTCAAAAACTTGTCAGGGTGAGAAAGAGGTTAAGCGGTTCTAAAATCGTAATGCATGCAGTAGAGGGAATCATTCATACGGCTACAGGATAGTCGGACTCTGGAGTCATGATAAAGTGTCAAAACCTCTTTAACCCTGGACCACATAGCTTCAATATTGTTTATGTGCACTGCGGTTTTTGAGTACACAAAATGCTACTTGTGGATGACGATACGATGTACATAGACAACCCTATGTAGGAGTCTGTTTGCTCTCCAAACATCCGCATATATTGTAGTACCTGACTGCAGGCAGTGTTAAAGGTGCTTTTATTATCCATTTCACAATAATTGTCATAATTTACCCTAGTTAGGAATTATATATGTGGTTTTCATTACGAAATGACATCAGCTATATTGCCAGAAATTTATTTAGCCAAACCAATGAAAGGTTTTCGCTTTAAAATCCGAGATCTATTATCTTATACCTGATTGATTCTTCCACAAATTATAGTCTCGTCGTTTTATTTGTTATAGCCGCTCAATTATCACGTTTTGTACGAAATCCCCTGTGAACCGAACGTTTGTTAGCATTAAGCACTGAAGTTGGTGCCGTAACTTTGAAATCTCTAAAACGCTTCTGATTGGCTCGTCCATAAATTAGAGTCTCGCCGTAACTATTCCATGAAAATCAATCAAGATATTTTCATTCATCAATATATTTCAATGCAACAGTTGACAAGTCGGTCAAATATTTATATTTAGTCTTTACATGATCAAATCATGCACCATTCTAACTGACATTTATATTATTAAGTATATTGTCTAAGAAAAAATGATATTTAATTATGCTTGTCATTTAGTCCAGATCATTTCCAGACTATTTTTCTACATACAGCTTCACTCTCCTCTCTATTACTTATCTGGTTAATTACCTGTAACCAATGCAACTAATACTAATCATATGGGTATTAATAATAATAGTTCTAACACCGGATGTTTAACATTACAGTAAATTCCTCCGTATAAATGCTTGTTTTAATTGTCGATAATTTCCATACATTTACAATACTGAATGCTTTCTATCAGTTCAGAGACTATAATTATTTCATTTTCACCCGTTAGTTAATGAATGCATGAATTTCAATAGATACATTCCTCCTTGTTTTCAAAAAGTGAAAAAATATATTCAAACAAGTGAGGAGTTTCCCTATGAAACTTTCAGTAGTATACATTACGATAGATTGTAAGTTATCCATAGTATCTCGTATGTACATGAATGTACGGTTCATAATTATCCAGTTCAAGGTAATCGACAACAAAAACGTTTTTTTTAAGTTCTTCACCGATGTAAAATAGTTGATCTAAACGTTTTGGTCGGCTGCCGTTATACTACTACTACTACTACTACTACTACTAATAATAATAATAATAATAATAATAATAATAATAATAATAATAATAATAATACTATCATTACTACCACTAATGCGGTGTATGCCACTTATATTTACGGATATAAGTAGAATATAACACCAATCAGAAGTGGAGATCAGACTGAAGCGAACGGGAAAAGAAACATAGAGGAATTAGAATAAACAAAGAATTAGGAGAATCATGAAATGCGTTGAGGACAGCTTATGGAAGATGTACAAAATATGTTTGATGCATAGTTTTCATATTTTACCAAGGCTTTCTGTAATTTTTAAGCACAACATTTAGAAATGAAAAGGATCATTGAAGGCTGTGGTAATTCCGATGTCTCATCTATAAAATAAATGTCGTGAATATTTTTCCTTGTTCATTTTACATATTTTCAAACGCCATAACCATATGAAATTAACTAATTACTTACATAATAATAATATTCTTGACCGTCAGTGATCCTCACTTTGAAACCATGATATGATTACCCAATAATAAATGGATTCAACTAAAACCACAAAATGTTATTTCATTGGATTGAATTTATCTTCTTCAATTTGGTTAAATAATTTTGATCATTACAGTTATTTACTGACTAAACTGTGATAGAAATTGGTTCCTTGCACAATTAATTTGCGCCAGACTGATGGGTCTTGGGTTCGAATCTTGTGGGTGCGGGCTAGTGGATGTGCGCTGCTAAGGAGTCCCATACTGGGATGAAATGGCCGTCCAGTACTTCCAAGTTTTCCATGGTGGTCTGGCTTCATTTAACTCATGGTTTCAATCTGTGACATAACTCATATGTTGTAGAAGTTTAAACATTCGTTTTTGACAAACGTTATATACATAAATAGTGCTCAATAAGATTAATCGATAAATAAACTAAGTTTTGGATTGAGATCATAAAGAGATGAATGTTAGAACACCATTGAAAACCTGGGAGCACTGAACGGCCTTTTCATCCTAGTATAGGACTCCTCAGTAGCACGCATCCAAGATCCCACACCTGGGATTCAAGCCGAAGACCTTCAGTCGACTTCCGCGTGCAGGATCCTGGATGCGCACTGTTGAAAAGTCCCATACTAGAACGAACTAGATGCTCAGTACTTCCAGGTTTTCAATGGTGGTCTGACATTCGTCGATTCATGATTTCGATCAAAAATTTGACAATCCCCACAACCCCACACCGAAAATAAGTTAACGTTTAAAAGAAGACTATCGTTTGAGTTTAAACGAAACTCATCGAATGGAGAACTTAAAATACGTCAACTTGATTCGGATATAACTATGACCCATTGTACTCTATGATTTGTTCATCATAATATGCATTTACTTTTCAAATAGTTATTATGCACGTTTGGTACGACGAAACGAACCAAGTTATGCATTCATTCAGAGCTAGAGAACAGATGACAGCTATTTTATTTTAATAAGAGTCTCCTTAGTACTGCGCATCTATGAGCCTAGAATGACCAAATTTAGAACGTTCGGTAGAGTGGTGAATGCTCAACTACTAGACCATAGGGATGACAACCGATGAAATGCTTGTCTAACTTAAGTCAGTTTGAAACTTGGGGTATTTATCTTCCCCGACAGGAAACAGCTATCTAGTGATTCTTGGTTTACAGTGAATATCTAAATTAGGTCAATTCGCCAGATCAATAACAGTTTTTAGTAATCAAGTAAAATATTTATTTAAAGTTGAATTCTATGAGGTTGACATCATGACCATACAGAGATTGTGAGTATTCTAAACTAGCCAATTCCAATCCTATCCTCATCTTGTGATGAGAACAAACGTTTTAAAAAAATCAATTAAACCATGGATTGTAGTGCAAGCCTGTCGATTGAATTCTATCAACACAATGGATAAGATAACCAAGACTTTGGTTACTACTTTTCAATGGTCAATCCCACATTTATGATAATGTTTGTGTAGATAATCGTCGAGATCATTTTATGATTGAGCCATATAATTTCACTCTTTTTTTCTTTTAATTAATTTCAATAAACTACTCTTCAGGTTACATTGACTATAAAACTTAGATTAAGTCTTTCAACAATAAGGAAAAAGTCACGTATGAAGTCACACATACATGTTACATAACACTAGTTTAGTTAGTGTGATTATCATAAGTAAATGTGTAGGGTTTATATTTTAAATGATATATTATGTTCATACTTTCTTGATATCAGATTCATGGCCTGATGGTTAGCAGTAATATAAAGCGATTATTTTATTGTGATATAACCCACATGCACAAACATCATATAGCAATATTTTCTTGTTTCCATTTGTATGTAATGCTTTTCTTGAAAGAACTTTTCGTTTCTATAGATTAATTAGAATGTCCATTTAGAGAAATTAAATTTAAATATCTGATTTTCAGGAACAATCTAAGTATCAAGATACACGAATCTCAATTACTTTGGGATTGTTACTCAGCCCGAATAAAGCATGTAAGAGCAGTGGCTTGGCTTATCAGATTCATTGACTATTTCAAGATATTGTATTCATGAATGTCAGGACTGATCAGTCATTTTGAGTAATATGAAAACCAGAGACATCGATGGTGTTACACGTGGGAATTAGGTACTAGTACAAGAAGGCTCATACTGAAAGCTTTCAAGTGGACTCAGTGTAGATGGAAAACTAGTAGGTTTTGGTGATTTGAAAAAGTTAACACAAGTAGTATTAGTTGGGTTGTTGTGTCTGTGGTCGATTGGATTTATCTGCATTCCTAAGGTCATTTAACCACTTGATAATATTACAAAGTCGACAGGCTATCACAGAATTGATCAGCATATTATAAGGTAGGATATATTTCCAAATCACTGGTCTTGGCTATTATACAGAAAAGATGTTGGTTCGTGAGAGGCACTAGTAGTAGGAAATGATGAAATTTGTTATAGATTCAAAGTGAAATCGAAAGATTAGATGATACTTTTCATTTGATTGCTTGTTACCATTTTTAATTTTCCAATTGTATTTATCTCAGGATCATACTTTTTGTTGTTTATACAGTGTTACTTGATATAAGTAAGCCAATGAGAAGTAGCCTGATGAGAACGTTAATCGACGGCAATCAGAAGTGACCGAGAGGTTAAGTGCATTTCACTGGCTAAGAAATGGATTGAATTTTATTCGGTAGCCCAACATACCTTCTGGCTCACTCTTTTGTTCTCGCCCAAGCTGTCAGTTGGAGGCGGGGTTAGTACACAGCTTAACGTCCATCAGTGTAAGTTTTTGAACATTGCCGGTCACCACATTACTCCACTTTGATGTGTTTTTTGTTGAATATCAGTCTTCTTTAAACTCATATTTCTTGTTTTCCATCGTTTGGGCATATTTTCAAAGTGTGTATGTATATCTCGTTCGTATGAGAATAATTTCAGTCGATCGGCATTAGAAACAAATGTAGTTTCGACTGAAACCGATTTGCACCTTAAATTACTTAGTAAGATCTGAAACTAGTAAAATGTTAAAATATGAGACAGATTAAGGTCCAAATTTTGCAAGCATCCATGAGTGTTTATAACAACAAATAGGAAGTTGAGACAAGTATATCTCCATAAATGAATGTTACTATGATAAGGACTATACCAATGTGACGTAAATATTGTAAAATAAATTGCTGATGTTATGTATTAATTGGAAAAACTATGT